AAAAAAAAAAAAAAAAAAAAAAAAAAAAAATAGTGTCTACTGCCATGAAAGTGATCATTTTGATAATGAAGATGTTAAAGACAGTAGGAAAAGAGGTCTTTGAGGGCTCTTTACATTTCAGAGGAAGGAGAAGGTGAAATAGTTTTGATTCTTGATTTTTCACTCCCCAAGGATTTAAATGAAAAAAAAATTTTTTTTTTAAACTGGGGATCGAACTCAGGCCCTTGCATTTGTGAGGCAGGTGACAGAACCACTGAGCTAAATCCCCGGCCCCAAAATTTTATTAAGGAGAACAATCTCCTTGCAAAAACAGTTGAAGCTGTACCATTTTTTTTTTAATGTTTCTTTCATTGGTATTAAAATTGTAAATAAGATATAGATGTGTCTGGAATATATCATCGCTACTTGGTATGAGGTTCTAAAGCAAGAATAACTATTTGTTCTTGTGCCTTTTGCTCATCATCCCATGAACGAGTGGAATGCCTGATTTATTTATTTTTTGGTACCAGGGATCGAACGCAGGACCATACACTTTGGAGGCAGGCGTGGTGCCACTGAGCTAAATCCCTGGCCAGGAATGTCTGATTTTAATTCTCCTAGCTAATTTTCTTTTATGAAAAGTGAAATAAGAGAACATTTTTGGGGGTTGTAAAGTTCAGCAAATACATTTATGCTTATTTTTACCCCCTGAAATGGCTGTCTTGCTTGTAAGGATGCTACATTCTGAGGTTGTGTAGATAATTCCTTGCTCTTATGTTAGATATGCAGATACTGCCTAATCAGAAGAAACCAAAAGAATGACTCAGATGTGCTTGAAATGCCAGTGAGTCCTAAATTTCTACCCAAGTACGTAAAAAATACTTGGATCTTCAAGGTGAAGATAGAAGGCATAAGGAGAGTAGAGTAGGAGAAATGCCTTTGTTTCCTGAACCTTCCCAAGCCTAACTTGACATGAACTTCTGTAAGCCAACTCAGTTCAGAAGCAGTAGAGAGAAAACAGGAGAGGTAAAGTCACAGAGGTAAGGCAGCACTCCTCCCAGTTCTCCAGGGTGAGAGTGGAGTGTTCATTCCTAACTTTAGGTAGCATGAATTCACTTAGGGTCTATTGCTTATAATGGAGGAAGCAATGACATTGAATAGTCACAAATACTTAAAATAAGAAATAGATAGTAGCCAATGTAGCCAAGTTGTTTTTTAGCTAAACTAATTCCAAAGAGTAACAATTCTGTTTAGACTGGTATAATTTTTTAAATGAAAGAATTTTTTGTTCATTTCAAAAATAAATTTTGTGTCAATAAGTTGATATAAAATATTTGAAGACAAATTGTCTGAGGGAATTTAATTTATGTGATTATAAAATGCTTATTGAAAGGGTATATTTCTAGTGTTTTAATACAACTGGAGTAAAGACATATTCTTTTGTTCTAGGGCATGAAGCTGAGAATACTGAAGTTTTGCCATACCTAGAAAAGGTTGGTACGTTTAACAGATTAGCTAGATTACACATGTGTATTTAAATTTTTTTAAAATTGTGTTGATTAAAGTATCAGCCTCACTTAGACCCTCTCCTGGGAAGAAATAAGACTAATAGTTTCAGTAGATAGAAGTATTTTCTTTCTTTATTACTATATATCTATAAAGTGTAATAAATACATTCATCATGGAGAATTAGTACAGACATATATCACATCTTGATCCTCCTCCCTTCTCCCTAGATCCCATTCCCATCTCCACAAAGTCTGCCTCTCTGTTCCTTATCTTTTATTTTGGTCTTTAAGTTACTTATACTTCTATGTTTTTCATCTGTTGGTAAGACACATAGACCACTTCCAAGATTTATTATAAATTGTGCTGCTACAAACATGGATATACATATATCACTGTAGTATGGTGTCTTTACCTTTTTCAGAAGATACCTATATATTTCAGGGAAATGTATAGCTGGGTCAAATGGAATTTCTATTTTTAGCTTTTGAGGAATCTCCATACTGATTTCCATAGTGGTTGTACTAGTTTACATTCCCACCAATAAGGAAGGAGAAAAGGTTCCTTTTTCCCCATAACTATACCAGTATTTGTTGTTTTTTGAGCTTTTGATAAACATTTTTTCTGAAGTAAGATGGAATCTCATTGTTTTATTGCATTTCTGTAATGACCAAACATATCAAACATTTTTCATGTATTCATTGAACATTTGTTTGTCTTCTGTGAAGCAGTTGCCAGTTTTATGATTAGGTCTTTCATTTTGTGGGTATCCAATTTTTGAGGTTTTTTTAGTATATGTGCTGCCGAAGCGAGCACTAATTTTTGAGTTCTTTATATATTTCAGAGATTAGCTTGATGTCCAAGGATTGGCTAGAAAAATCTTTTTCCTGTTCTGTAAGTTGTCTCTTCCCTCTGGTGTTTGTTTCCTTTGCTCTGCTGTATTTTAATTTTATATAATCCCATTTGTTTATTGTTGGTATACTTTCTTGTGCAATAGGGACTCTATTCAGAAAGTTCTTGCCTTTGCCCACGTCTTCAAGCATTTTGCCTATTTTATCTTCCAACAGATTGTTTCCATTTTAATATCTGGATCTTTGATTGATTTTAGTTTTTTTTTTTTTTAATATTTTGAGACAGGGTCTCACTATGTAGTTGAGATAGACCTAGGAATTCACTATGTAGCCAAGACTGGTCTCGAACTCACAGCAATCCTCCTGCCTCAGCCTCCTGAGTGCTGGGATTACAGGCATGCGCCACCATGCCCAGCTTTGATTGATTTTAATATAGTGTGAGAGACTTAAGTCTAGATTTATTCTTCTGTATGTGAATGCCCAGTTTGTTGAGCACCATTTGTTGAAGAAATTTTATTTTCTCCAGCATATTTTTTGGCCCCTTTACTGAGGACCAGATAGATGAAGGTGCCTGGGCTTGTTTCTGCGTCCTCAGTTCTGTGCCATTGATCAACATATTTTTTTGTGTGCTAGTGCCATGCTGCTTTTATCACTGTAGCTCTGCAGTATAACTTGAAATCCAGGATTGTGATGCCTTGTGCTTTGTTCTTGTTGCCAAGGAATGTTTTCCCTATTCTGGGTCTGTTCTGGTTCCATATGAATTTTATTATTGTTTTTTCTAGTTCAGTGAAGAATCCTATTGGTATTTTTATTTAGATTGCATTAAATCTATATATCAGTTTTTGTAATATACCCTTTGACAATATTGGTTATTGCCTATCCAGGAATAGGGAATGTTTTTTCCTGAAGAGACAGAAATATATTCTTGTCTAAAACCTCTTGGAGAATTTACTCTTTCTGATCTCTAATAACTAGTGTTTTCTTGATCTGTGTTTTATCTTCTTATGCACATTTCCTGCTGTCAGCCTTTTTTTTTTTTCCTTTGCTCAAGTTAGGAATCAGAAGGCAAAAGAGCCTAAAATTTGGAACCAGATCTAAGTTCCAAGGATAACTCTGTTGCTTATATGTCTGAAATATGGACAGTTATCTTTTTCACACAATTATTATGAAGACTGAGAGCAATGATAATTGATGGTGTGTGGCACCTAATGGTGCTAAATAAATACATGTTCTTCCATTCATTCAGTCCTTCAGAAATCTTTTAAGGTCTGGCTGAAGTGCTTTCTCCACTGTGGATTTGTTTGAGATGAGTCTGGTAATATTGACAAAAGTAATTGTGTCTTTTCTAGCATTCCCTTTTCACTAATTATGATGCAGTATTTCCTAATCACTTGTACCTTCTGACATTAATAGACCTTCTGAGGAAAAGGACTATTTGGATAAAAAATTCAGGAAGCACTGTATCTTGGAGGTTTCTTTCTTCTGTTAGCACAGATAGTTTGAACACAGTTGTTTTTTTGTTTTTGATACTGGGGATCGAACTCAGGTCCTTGTGCTTGAGGGGCAGGCGACAGAACCACTGAGCTAAATCCCCAGCCAAGTTTGAACACTTGAACAGATGATTTGCCATCTATAAATATGTTGCAGCCAGTGCTGCCCTTGGTTCGCTATTAATGTTTAACCATATATCAATCACTGGTGATTTGGTATAGGAAAGCATTAAGTAGTATGCTTTAAGGAAGAAAGTTGATAACTTTTTGAGGGTAAGCTACAAACAAAATAAAATTTTAAAACTTATGTTTCATTTTAAAGTTTTTCATATTTATACTATAATTATGAAATTTCTATTTGGAAATACACAGGAACTAAATGAAGACAGAGACTCCCCTGAAATTAGCTTGCTTTCAAATATTGCCACTACAGTATCTGGTATGGTTGCTGTAAAAGAGAAATCATTAATAGAGCCGGATAAGATCTTAGCAGCACCAAATACATTTTATGACCCTGGAAAGGAAATCACACTGACCATGACTTCTGAAGAAACCAATGATGAAGAAAGCTCAATTGAAACTTTCGTGTCTGCCTTAGAAAGGTTACTAAGGTCACCAGAAAGCACCCAAGAAAAAAGACTGTTTGAACCAATGAATGATTTTGATCCTGTAGAATTGATGAACCCATTGAGCAACTCATCAAGTTCCATGTCAATATCTTTGAGTGCTTTGTCACCATATTGTAGAGATTTACTAGCAAATACAGAGGATGATGCATTACCACCTGAGTTGTTCACAGCCCTGAACACATTGTCAGGAGACAAGGCAGGGCCCATCTTTCACAGCAAAAAGGAAGGTGGCAGTCTTAGGGATAGAAATGAGTATTTGGAACCTGATACATTTCAGACAAATGAAGATTGTACACAAATAACAGAGGTGAGTTTTGAGTATCTTTGTTCTCCTTCACCATTTAAACACAATTCTAACTTAGCTGAGCTGCAGGACAAATTGTTATTAGTGAAACAAGTTACAAATGTGAGTCTGATTCTACCACTTACAGTAACTTTTAATGTCTTCGCTAAATTCAAACCTTCTATCCAGATGTCAGCTTGAAGCATTCAGCAATTTTTATAGATGTTCTTGGGTAGAGGTTTCAAGAGGTCATACAGTTAAAATAAATTTTTCTTCAACAGACCTGACAAGTTTGCTTGTATGTTGAGGAACAGATTATTTACCAGAATTTTCTCTGTTAGCTCAGGAAAATCACTTTGTTTCCCTGGGTGCAGAACAGATATGGGATATCTCAATTTATAGTTGTAAATAGAAAATATGCAATTTTGGCTGCCAGGTGAAGGAAAAATTTATGCCTAGCTTAGACAGAACTTTGTATCTGTGCCTGAAAATGCTGCTAGATAAAACTCTGGGGTTTAGAATTCCTGCAGCAGCATGCATGGAAGCTGCGTAGGGCTTACAGTGTGCCCAGTTCCTTTATCATATTGATAATTTGCATCTTCCTTATAAAAAATTCAAACATTGTAGAACTATATAATAATCAAAAAATAAATTGACATAGCCTGGGCTACATAGTGAGTCTAGGTCAGTCTCAACTACATAGTGAGACCCTGTCTCAAAAAAAAAAAAAAAAAAAAAAAAAAAA